GAAGAATTAAATATCAAATTGTCGGGGGTTTATTCTTCGGACAAAGTTGAAGAATTAGCTCGGGTTAAAGAATTAAAAGAAAAAGTTAATAATTGTCAAAAAGAAAATGAAGAATTAAAAGAAAGAAACCGTGATTTAGTAATTAGTAAAAACAAGGATAGCCAAAAAAAAGGAGAAGACTTTGAAAAGTGATTTTTTGAAGAATTAGTTAAAGTTTTTGATGGTCGGGATAATGTAAAAGACGTCAGTAGAGGTCAAATCGGAAGTGGAAAAAGAGCCGATTTTTTACAAGAAGTTTTGACGGATACTGAACCGAAAAAGGTTGTTGGTAGAATTATTTACGAGACTAAAAATACTGAGAAGTGAGATAACAATTGACTTAATAAGTTAGAAAGAGATATGCAAACCCACGGAGCAGAATTTGGTTTTATTGTGGCAACTTGTGCGAGTGGCAAGATTATTAAATTAGTTGAGACAATTGATCCACGGAAAAAGATTTATGTTAGTGATGGTGATAGTAATTTATTTCTAGTAGTAAAAGTTGTGCGGGAACTGTTAATTAATAGATACAATTTTCTGAAAATTGACAATGAAACTGATAAGGAACAAAAACTTAAGAAAGTTGAGGATTGAGCAAACATTAAATTGCCAGGATACATAATGAACTTAGAAAAACAATTCGAAAACCAAGAAAAAGCGATTGGAACAATCATCGAAAAAACAGAAAAATTAAAGAAATTTAAAGATGAGATTTATAGAATAACGATGAATAGCATTATTTCAGAGTTAAAAAATTTTTTAACATAACACAGACTAATAGTATTTAAGAAGATAAGTATGAAATTCAAGTATGACTGTTTTAATAATCGCCTTTGAAAGTTAAAAGATAAATCTGCTTCCGAAATTCCTGAACAACAGGCTTTTATTGATTCTCACGGAGAAAGAAAATTTATTTTAGATACTGATTGTCCTAACCATTGAGTTAATTTCACTGTTTATGATAAAGTTATTAGAGTTTTTTATAAGCGAATTAGCAAGGTTGATAGTAACGATATAATTACTTACTATCAAAAAGATATTTCTAGGAATGGAGATTTTGTAGTTGAATTTGAATTAACTGAGGCTGATGTTGTTGCTAAGAGGGATGACGGCAGATGAGTAAAGAAATAGTAGTTGATTGGTTTTTTAGACTTGTATTGTGTTGTGTGCCATTAATATCCTTGCTTTGCAAGAAGAAACCAGAGAAAAATTTTTCAACCTCTCAAAAACCCCAAAAGCTAGTTAGGAAGTTAAGGCATCTGCCTCGCTTATTCTTTGATTGACCACAATGGAGAAATCTATAAAAATATATTTATATTTAAGGAATGTATAAGTATTATGGAAAAACAAAACTTAACCATTAAGATTAGTGTTGACACTTATCATCAATTAAGAAGTGATATAGGGAGGGGAAATATAAGCCAATTTATTGAAAATTTGGTTAATAGAGAATTAGGTTCAAGCGAAAAAAGAATAGAACAAGAATATAAGGAATGTTATACTAATCCTCGCATGCTAAAAGAGGCTAAACAATGGGAAAAAGCCGGTATAGAAAGTTGATTGAATTACGAAAAAAACAAGAACAAAAAAAGTAATTAGTGAATGGCAGAAAAGTTAATTAAACGCGGAGAAGTTTATTGAGTAGATTTACCGGATAGTAATGGAAGGGAATTAAAAGAAATTCACCCTTGCTTGGTGATTTCAAATGATAGGCAAAATTTCGCTAGCCCCCTAATAACTGTAATACCTATTACTTCTTTGAAAGAAAGTGATAAAGTTTTTTCTTTTCAAGTATCGATTAAACTTAAAAAAGAAAGCGTGTTATTAGTTGACCAAATTCAGACCATTGACCGTAATAAATTTAAAGATAAAATAACTGAAATTAAGGAGAATTTATTAGAGGAAGTGGAAAAAAAAATCCACTTTGTTTTAGCATTAAGAAATTAATTAATAAAAACTCCCTAATCACCAGCAAAATCCCCCTTAATTATTCCTAGAATAAAAAAACACTATAAATTTTTACTGAATAACAGGCTTTTTCTAAAAAAAACTGTTCTGAAATTCGCTAAGTTCTTACTGTTTATTTCTTAACCCAATTTGCCACAATATTTATAATCATAATGGTTGCCGAAGCCACTGCCATCACTGAACTTCAAAAAAAGGCTCTTCGTAAAGCAGCTTCTGAGACACCTTTTTTGGGTTTTTCTAATTTCTTTACTCGCTTTTTTAATTCGCTGACTTCTTTTTTTAAATCTTTATGGGAAGTTTTAATTAGTGATAAATCACTGGCTAACTTTTTATTTTTACCTTTATTCAATTTAGGTTATTTTACTTAATATCTTTTCAAAATCCCAATTAATTACTCTTTTTTTAACTCTGATTACTTACAAACAAGTAAAATTAATAATAACTTACTATGTAAATAAAATTCCAACCCTCATGAAAAGCATTATCCAAGCTTTAATATTTAAGCAAAAATTTAGGCGAATTTAAGCATGTATATATCAATCAAACTAGGCTAAACCTAGGAAAAGAAAACAATCTTTAAATGCTTAACTATTGGGCTTAATTAGTAGTGAAATAAAACAAAATAAATTTTTAAAAATGGTAAACGAAAATATTATACCCAAAACTGAGACAGTTTATGAGTTAAAAAATGAAATTCCCTCTTTTGAGGAATTTATGCGGAGTTATGAGCATGATGCTAATTTGAATTATGATGATTTAAATAGTGGTGATATCAGTGAAGTTAAAGGATATGGACCTTGTAAGAATTCTAGTTGTGATTGTTATTGTTCTGCTAGTGAGTGCATTTGCAATAATTACTCCGATTATGGTCATGGAGGGCATAGTAAAAAGTCAGTAAAAATTACCGAGAAAACTAGAATAAGGGGGTTTCAACACTTAATTCATACTGGTAATGATTATTCAGATAGAAATTACGGTCCAAGGACTTTAAGGGGCGAATTATGAGATGGAGATGTTTCAGTTAGTGTTGATAGTAGTCTTGAAGCACATAGCATTAGAAGTTCAGCAGGAGTAAATGCAGGATTGGGCGGTGTAATAGCCAGTGGAGGTGCTAGTTATTCATTGCTTAGAACAGATGGTCCCAATAGAGGTGACGAAGCTAGAGTTTTAAGTGGCACTATTGGAGGTGAAGCTGGAGTTGGCCCGGGAGGTGCTACGCTTGGATATACATTGGCTGCGGATGTGGTAGGTATTAAAGCAAAAGGTTTTTCAGCTAATGTTGGAGTTGATGTTGGTAGTGGTGTAGCAATTGGTGCTGGCGGTGTTGAAGCTAAAGTAGCTGGTGTTGGTATTAGTATTGGCAAAAAAATGGGATTTAGCACCCCGTTTGGAGGAGCATCGGTTGATTTAGAAGAAGCTTGCGTTATTCAGTAAGTGTTATGTTGTTGATGCTACAAAAAAATTCTCGAGGGAGAGGAGGTTTATAAATCATGAACTTTTTTTCCTCGGTGTGGTCGAGTAGCAGGCAAATTTCATAGAAAGTGTGCTATTAAACAAGATAAGAGAATTGGAAAAATTCGGTGATTGCTTTATGGCTGATTTGCACTTATTTTAATAACAGGTCTTTTAGTTGCTTTACTTTTAAAAACAGAGTTTATTCGTCCTCCTTGTCGATACTGTGGTAAATAAATTTCCCCCCATTCACCTTTTTCCCTAACAACTTCCTTATAAATCCATTCACTTTTCACCCTTGCTATACTTTTATACCCAACTAATAAAAAAGAAGCAAAAAATCAATAAAATTCCCTATCAAAAGCACTAGTTTATCATGAATAACAAAAGTATCGCCAAAAACAAAGAAAAAAGAAAACTCCGGAGAAAGTGAAAAGGTAATCAAAAAACCAAAGAGCCCGACCGAGTATCCCCCAGGTAAAAATCCTGCTGAAAGGTCAAAAGTTCCGAAAATTTTCTTTGCTACTTTCTTTTAGTCATATAGAATAGTAAGGAAATTAGAATTTAATTAGCACTAAATAACCCTTAATTAGTGAACAATTTAGTAGGAAAAACTTATTAAGCAAGGATAATATGAATGAGTTAGAAAAGTTATTAATCCCTGAGGGAAGCCCGAAAAGAAAAAGAAAGATATTAACTGATCCGGAAAGAATATTTGCGAAATGTCACACTTGTCAAGAACCCGGTAATTTAGATAATATGTTGCGAAAACCAACTCCCACCAAAGATTTAAGAGGGGTGGAATTGTATGGAGCTTTTAATTATCTTTACTTTTGCTCGGATAATTGTCAGGGATTAGTTGGTTAACTTATGAAATGTCGCAAATGTGGAAGAACTTTTACTAAAAGAGCAATGAAAGTCAGTGGAGTAAAAGGCAAATGTAAATACTTTGCTCGTTATTGATGTCAAATTTGTTCTTTAACTCCTACCAAAGAGTTTGGTTATTCTTAATAATATTGAAAACCTTTTTTAAAATTCTTTTAAATTAACGTTATGATGGCTCTCTCTCTCTCTCTCTCTCTCTCTTAAAAATTACTTTCAAATAATCCTCGCTGATGTCTAATTGAAGCGAAGAATTAGACAAATTAAGAGAGAGAATTGAAGAACTTAAGAAAAAGGTTAAAAGCAATCCAAACAGCCTAGACAAAATTACTGACAAAATAAACGAAAACCTAGTCGAGATATTCAAGTACTTAGAAGCTAGCGAAGAAATTATTCAACGAGAAGCCACCGAACATCCCAAAATTTCAAATTCGGTTGCTGATTTGACCAAAAGCATAACTGATTTAGAGGACTATTTAAACGATTTAGAAATAAAATACCAAGCATTAGAAGAGAAAACCAAAAATGCAAAAATTGCTTACGGAGTAGGTGGAACTATCGGAGGAGTAGTTGGGGCGGTTGCTTTGTGAAAGACTTTACCGAAAGTTAAGAAATGGTTAGGGTTATAAGAAATTAGACAATAACTTTAAGAAAAACAGCCTTAAAAAGCTTTAATTAGGTATTAATCTTAATCATTGTAATAGTCTTTTATAGGGCTTTTGGCTTGGTTTGATAAAGGGCTTAACGGACACATTGTTTAGTATAAAGATTTAATGCCCAAGCAAGCCAAAAAGCATGAGATATTAGGGGGAATTAAAGTTAGTTCTCAGCAATTAAGCGAATGAGGAAGTTTAGGGGGAAGACCTCAGAAATGAACTAATGAAGCCGAAAGAAAACGAGCAGAAAGATTAAGAAAAAAGCAAGAGAAGTTTGGAGAGAAAGCCGAGTTAAGAGGTTATAAAAGCTATGGTAAAATTCAAATCAAAAAGACTGCGATTATTTGTCCTAATTGTGGGAAAGTTGAGACTGATTTAAGGAAATATTTTGATGAAAAAGGAGAATTAATTGAAAAAACTTGGTGATTTGATACAGTAAGGATGGAGAAATTTAATGTTAGAGAAAATAGTTTTTTTTGTTTTGGATGTTCGCAAACTTGTTCTTTTTTTGCTGAGAATTTAAAAGTTAAGGAAGTCAAAGAAATTCAAAAAAAGGCCGGAAGTAGTAAAGAAAGATGATGGAGATGGAGGGGGATAAAATTAGTTAATATGTCAAAGCAATTAAAAACAATTGAAATAAAAGCAAATCAAAAAAGAGAAGGAAAAGCCTTTGGTTGTAGTGAAATATTTACTTTGGATAATAAGGGTAAAGTTATTAAAAAAGAGTGAAAGTGCGAGGAGATTAAAGACTGAAAATGATAGAGCGTTTTTTTGAATACTTAATCAATAAACTTTACTGAGAGTTTAGGAAAGATAATGATTTACCTTTTGGCACTTTTAACCCTGAGCCAGTAATTAGATTTGGAGGCTTTGCTTTGGAAGAACCTTATTGAAATGAGGAAAAGAGAAGAGTAGAAGTTAGGAGAGGTTGACACACCCGAGAACCTTTATTAAAAATGGGTGATATTCCGGTTTATACTAGAACTATTTACCTTAACAAACTTTTTTTACATAAGCAAATGGGTTTACAAGTTTTCTTTGAAAACAAAGAGGAATTTGTTGAGTGATTTAACACAGAAGTTTTGGTAGAAGTAGTTTGCCATGAGTTAGCCCATGCTTTTTTAACTGATATTGACCCCAAAAGCCAAGAGATAGATGGAGGACATGGAAAAAAACACGATGAATATACTGAGAAGTTAAGGAATTTATTGGTTGGTTTTTCTGAATATAAGGAATTAAAAAGATTTTGAAAATAGAATATGAACGAAAGCAAAACAATACAAATTAAACAAGTAATAGCCAAGATAGATATAGGGAAAATTTCTTTACTTTTACAAGAGCATTCTACTTCTAAAACTTTAAGGGAAATTGTCAAGTATAGCAAAAGGGCATTAGACAGTAATGACGATAAAAAAGTATTTAAATTAGGAACTGATTTGGCTTATGAACTAGATATACTTGTCAATAAAACCGGCTATGTCAAGGACGAAACAGAAAAAAAGTTTTGGTTAGAGATATCTAGAGAATTATTCGAGAATACAATTGGAGTAAGAGATAAAAAATAAATTATATAATATTAGATTATTAATTGAGTCCTAATTTGGTTAATTTGCTGACTCAATTAGTTCCATGCTTTTGGCGAAGTTCATGGGGACTAGTTGAGGGTTAGGACTGAATTAATAATTATGTTGAACTTCGCCGTTCAAGTATCAGTCAATCCGACTAAATACTTAGGAAGCTTAAAAAAATCAAAATACAGTAAACAGAAAGAGAATCCTCTCACTTTTTTTAACTTAAAAAATAGAAAAAAAGACCGTCATAAACTATCTCGGAAAACTAGATACTGAATCAATTTTTTAAAGCAAAAAAATTACCTTTTAACTCCGTTAGACGAGATATTTAAAAACTCTTTAAGTGGTGGACGTGAAAATCCTTACATAGCTTTAAGAATAGATAATAAGAACTTGTTTTTTTTAAAGAACAGACCCACCGAACCTTATTATTTGGAAAAACAAAAAGACTATTTATTCTCACATTTGGTTTGAAGAGAAAAAGCAAGGTTGGATGACTTACTTGCTAAACGACCTTACCAATTTAGGAAGAAATGACAAGAAATTAAGTTGAAAACGGAAATATTAAGCAAGTGGGATAACCCAGCTAAGTTAGTGGCAGGTTATAAAGAAAACAATAGACCAAAACCAACCTGAGAAGCAGTGGGTTGAAATTCTCCTAATTACTGAGAACCCAAGAATAGAAGTTTAGTCGCCTTGGCTTTTACCCATGAGATAGTATTGGGAAAAGTTGATGTTCCTTTACTAGATTTAGACCCGAACAAGAAAGATAAGGACGGCAATTATAAGATTAAGCAGGAGTGATTAAGAAAAGCATTAGTGGTAGGAGGGAAAAAGTGAAAAGCACTAATTAACAAATACCAAATTCCTTATTACTGAACTACTGGCACTCCTGGTAATTGTTTAATACCTATTCCTTACTGGTTGATTGGGGAAATGAAAGGTAGAAATATTTATCACCAAGACACAGGAGAAAAAATTGGTGATTTGTTAAGTCAAGGTGATTTAGTGGCTTTGCCGGTTGGTTCAGATAAAAATAGACAGTTAGTTATTACCGAATGAGGGAGAAAATTAGTTAAAAAACATGGAACAGAGGGAATATTTAGAAAAAGTTTGCTTGCTGGGGATATTGAGGAAAAAGTGGAAGAGTTATTGAACGGGGTTTATTTGAGTTTGAATGAAACTACTATTCAGAAACCAAGGAATAGAAAAATGCCAGTGATTAGGGAATATTCCACAAAAAAACAGGTGGAGAATACCGGAAATCAGAAAAGAAGTGTTGTAGAAGCCAGTATATTAGGGAAATTAAAGACCTGTTTAAAGGATATTTGAAAAGTTTTTTACAGAGATAATCAACAGAAAACAGGCTATTTTCTAGTGAATGATTACCAAAGAGAATGGGCTTTTAATGATTTGGAGATTGGAAACACATTAAATGTCTGTTTAGTTCAGGGTTATAAGCATCAGTTTTTAAGTCGAATATCACCCTAAAATAATTAGCATACAACACAACAACTAAAAACACAATGTCACCCAAAATATAATATATGCTAAAAATAGCCATTACCAACGAAAAAGGTGGCACCGGCAAATCTACTATTGCCTGTTTATTAGTTGAATATCTTAATCACTTAAAGAGAAAAGTCCAGTTAATTGACACTGACCCCATTCAAACTTCCCAAACCTGAGTTAATAACTGTAAATTAGAAGGTCGTCAAGTTTCCACCGACCCCGCTACTTACCAAATCATTGACACCGCAGGAAGTTCAGGTTCGGCTCTCTCCTGACTAGCCCAAGCCGACTTAATCTTAGTTCCTTTTCGTCCGCACTATGCTGACTTGCAGACTACAACCACCTGATTTACCAGTTTAAAACCGGACTGACAAGCCAAGATAACTTTTATTCCTAATCACTGACAAAACACCAAAGAACAACGCCAAGGTTTAGTTGAATTAAAAGAAATCATTACTGAGGAAAAGCAAGGAAAGATTGCTCCAACTTTATCTAATCGTCCCGCTCTTTATGGAACTCTTTTAAATGGCAGTAAAGATAACTTCTTTGCTCGGAAAGGTTTACCAACTGAAATCAAGCAATTATTTAAAGAAATCTTAACTAATTATGAGAAAATTAACTAGAAGTCCCAAAAAAGAGCCGAATTTACCTCAGCAGTCTTTTAAAGCCAAATTTACCGGAATTCAAGCTAAAGTATATTTTCGCTGTGATACCTTTTTATTGGAGAAAGTTAAAAATACCTTAACTAGTCAGCATTTAGCCGGTAATTATGAATATCCTAATCTCAGTAATTTTTTTCGTTTGGCTCTCCATGCTTACCAGAATGGAATGCCTTTAACTTACCAACGAGAGTTAAATAATCCTAAAAAGGAGATATCTTTTCGTCTCACGGAAGAACTAATGACTTTTTATAATTCGTTGCCGTTGAGTTCGAGAACGGAAATAATGGAACGGGCTTTGGGGAGTTTTTATTTTAGAGAGTTAAATTAGTTAGTAAAATTGAAAAAGAATTTTTGCTGAACTCTTAAACGAAACTACTATAAAATGTAATTGTATACAAATATTAAATGGGTCAACAAACTGGCATAAAGCTGATTCTAATATTGTATACAATTAGTAAATCAATATATGGAAAAAATGAAAACTGCTCTGTTTTCGTTTAATAATTCTTTGGTTTTTATTGTTCTTTGCCACACTGAATGTGTTTGTGAAAACTGTACTGAACTTCAAGAAAACTATTAAAAAGTAAAAAAACAGGGTCTTTAACAAAAAGAAAAATTTAATTTTAAGTAATTTATATGAACATAATAGAGGAAAAAAATCTTGCTTCTCAAGAGGAAGTTGTTAAGGTATTAGCAAAATTTCAGCTTGCTTTCGATTGTCCTCATTGTCATAAGGAAATCAATGAGGAACATTTTAATAAGGGAGAGAGAAATTTTCAACTTATCAGTGAAAAAGTAAGAAAATTGGTAGAAAACGAAGTTTATTCTCAGAGGATTTTATATAGAAATCAGTGTCTAGAAGAAATAGAACAAACTAAAAAGTATGAAGAATTTGCTGGTTTTTTAAAGTTAAAGTTTGAAAGCGAGAAACAGGTTAAACTAATTGAAAAACTACAAAACCAGTTCCAAGAGCAAGAGAAAAAGTCTATCTTGGAATTAGCCAAAAAGACTGAAGAAATTAAAAATAAGTATTCACTCGAAAAAGATAATTTAAAAAAAACTGTTGAAGAATTAAATATCAAATTGTCGGGGGTTTATTCTTCGGACAAAGTTGAAGAATTAGCTCG